GAGGGCTGCAGGCCTGCAGGAAGGTGGTCCTCACTTCTAGACACCCCAGTGTTCTTTGTGCCCCTCAGGAGCCCGGGAAACAGCAATGTATTGAATTCTTCCATTTACTTGAGGACAATTTTCTTACAAGAATAAAAAAATGCCCCACTCCAAAATGTGCAACAGAACACAGAAAATCCAGCCCCGGCACGCTGCTATGCAAAAAGGGAGTTTAACAAAACCTGGCCCACTGCCTCCCCATCTTCCTGGTCATATTTTTTTAAATATATTTTATTGATTTTTTTACAGGGAGGAAGGGAGAGAGAGAGTTAGAAACATCGATGAGAGAGAAACATCGATCAGCCGCCTCCTGCACATCTCCTACTGGGGATGTGCCTGCAACCAAGGTACATGCCCTTGACTGGAATCGAACCTGGGACCTTTCAGTCCACAGGCCGACGCTCTATCCACTGAGCAAACCGGTTTCGGCGTCCTGGTCATATTTATTGCTACCAATTATGAGCTTCCTTGTGGACTACTGCTCACGGTGGGCAAGCAGTAAAGAGCCCTCCATGCATAAGAAACACTGTGGGAGAGACTCCTCCGAGTGAGGAGATACTTTCATCTATTAACTTCGTGTGTGTGTGTGTGTGTGTGTGTGTGTGTGTGTGTGTGAAACGTGTTCCCAGCAGAGCCTGCCTGCCAGGTCCTGACATCTCAGTGGTTAAGTGTGAGCGAATGTGGTGAGAACCCTGATCACCACGTCTGTGAGAGCCAGGGGAGAGTGGGCTGACTGGGACTTCTGCGCGTAGCCCTCTCTGCAGCTTTCCCAGGTGCCGTCCTGAACCCCAGAGTGGGCTACGGGGAAAGTTATCCTTTAGTGGAGGAATTTGCTCTGTTTAATTCACATAGTTATTTTGAGAGTCCCACGTGTGGAATTTGAAATACTGGAACATTTTCATTCTTTAGTCTTTCCATTTTGGGGGGGGTACCATTCATTATGGATCCATGAGGCTGAAAATATTTTAGAAGAAAGTTGCTGGTGGCAATAATACGAGTCATACTGTGGGCCAGGGCTTGTATAAGACTTGATAGATTTCAAACCATGCTTTAGTTCTTATCTTGTTTTGCTCTTTTTTCTATCCCTATCCCTCACATACAACAAACCTGAGAGATAGGCATGGCGAGAATTCTTCCCCTGAAAGGAAGGGAGAATGTAGGGAGGCGAGGCGGTCACCCAGGGCGGGTAACAGAACTGGACCCGCCTTGGGCCTGAGTCCGCTCAGCACACCAGGTGCCAACCCTTCGCCGTCAGTTGTCTCCTGATTGGCATTTGAGGCATCCTTTTGGTCTCCCTAGTGAGTCCGGAGACATCACCCTGAAGATCTGCAATCTGATGCCTCAAGACAGCGGGATATATACGTGCATAGCAGCCAATGACCACGGCACCGCGTCCACGTCCGCCACGGTGAAGGTGCAAGGTACAGACTCTCTCCGTTAATCGTTTTTTTATGGTGTAAACATATGCTTATTGTCGTACGGTGCACATGACAGCATTTACCATCTTGACCAACTTCCGGTGTCCAGTTCCATAGTATGAAGTCCATTCATACTGTTGCGCAGCCAAGCTCCAGAACTTGTTTTATCTTGCAAAACTGAAACTGTACCGGTTAAATAACTCCCCATCCTCCTTGCCCCAGCCCAAGGCAGCGCTGTCCTACTCTTCATCTCTATGATTTGTGTGGATCAAGCATTTTCCAGCGGCATTACCAGGGCTCCCTGAAAACTGGGGTGTGGGGGCAGAAAGGGGGGTTCCATTGTGAAAATTCCAAAGCAAAGTTCCAGCAAACAGGAAGAGAACGAGTTTTTGCTGTCTGTGGGGGAGAATTTCCAACAGCCAGGCACGCCTCCCGGGCCTCCCCCAGACCTGGGGAAGGTGGAGAACATCACAGGGAAAATGTGAGATGCTGGTTAGGTGATGTTTCCTGGGTGGCGTTCAACCCTGGTGTAAACGACCCGGTTCTGCAAAAATAGCCCTGGACCCTGTCTCTGTCCTGCAGGAGTTCCCGCGGCCCCCAACCGCCCCATCGCCCAGGAGCGGAGCTGCACCTCGGTGATCCTGCGCTGGCTGCCCCCGGCCAGCACCGGCAACTGCACCATCTCCGGCTACACCGTGGAGTACAGAGAGGAAGGTGGGCCGCCTGTGTGTCCTCTCCTCCTTGTAATGAGGCCTGCAGAGCCGTAACACCATTGGTCTCCATGCCCTTCATCAGCTGTTCCTTCTTGTGTCGCCCAAGGCGGCACCATGGCCCCAGCGCCAGACTGCAGCGCCTTCTCGGATCTCAAACACCCAGCCGGGGTTTTCCACCAAATGGTGACTCACGGCAGGTTTCTAAGTGCCTTCACACGCACTGCCCTGCTCAGCATGCCCAGTGACCCAGACAAGCCCGCCTATTCCACCGACCAGGAGGCAAGGGCCTAAAGAGAGTTAGGGAGCAGGAGGCTGGAGTTAGAGCCAGGTCGCCAGGTTGCTAATCTGTGATCTTTCTCCCAGAGCAACCAGGAGGGGAGCAGGATCCGAGCTTTACCCGCCCCGCCTCCCCTGATAAATGTAGAGACCGCTACACAGCAGGGGTGGGGAACCTTTATTCTGCCAAGAGCCATTTGGATATTTACAACGTCATTCTCGGGCATACAAAATTATCAACTTAAACATTAGCCTGCTATATTAGGTCAAACATTTAATTAACTCACCCCTAATGCCTTGGCAGGGCCAGACCAAATGATTTTATGGGCCTTACTTGGCCGTGGGCCCGATGTTCTCCACCCCTGATATAGGGTGTTCCCTAAGAATGTATACACACCCTTTGGATAGTTATAAAGTCAGTGTTTATCAAGTGCTTTTCAGTTTCAAAATTGGAACTATCGACTGTTAAAGTGCGTATACTTTTTTGGGCCACCCTGTATATATCATTATATATAGCAACTTTTTAACAAATTGTTCCGTTTTTTAACTTGTTACATTTACATGCTAAAGTGCATACATTTCTTCAGCAGTTGTTAAGAACTGAGCCTGACACCTGCTTAGCTGAAATCAGAAGTTGCCAGGGAGCGGATTGTTAACAACACATCTCTGAGCCCCACAATGAATTACAATGGAAAGTAATGCTTGCACCCAGAACCAAAATCATGTGTTTCATTACTCCTATTATTTTAACTCTTCTCTCTCCTGGTAAACGAGGCCCATGCAGTTTAAAGCTGATTATTTCTGCATCTTTCTCAGGCTGCTTACTCTTGTGTCTCCCAACTCCACACAAATCCACGCTGAGCTGACAGGCACGTCTCACAAAGTTCGTATTTATGCAGCATTAGTTAGGAAAATCATCCAATCTCTCCGAGTCCGGGTTTCTTCATCTGTACAGTGAGATGAATGCCCCTGACCTTGGGTTTTCTGTGGATTTAAGTGAGGAAGTGAGAGAATGGGGGGAAGGTGCCTCCCACGGGTCTTCACAAACAAGTGGTGCTCAATACGTGCTCATTTCTATCTTGTTGCCATTTCCAAACGCTGTTTTATTGTTGTTGCTCTTACGTTGGGTTTTGTGACACCTCGTGAAGAATCGGCCCCACACTCCTCCGTGACTTCTGCATGGCCTATGTGTCCTCACTCTCACGGCACAGCTGACACGGACAGAACCTGCAGGCCAGCTGCCTCCACATGCCTCCTGAGACAGTCAATCACTAGGATATTGAACCCAGATCCGCCACAGTTGCCCCAGGCTTTCAGAGCCAGACACAGTGACCACAATGGCCCTTTGAGTGGAATGTGTCCATTTCCCTCTCTTTGTTTGCTGAAGGTCTTTGAAACAATGTCCCTCTGGCTTGTTCTCTTTCTCTCTCCTCGGAAATTGCACGCTAGGTTCCCAGGCCTGGCAGCAGTCAGTAGCGTCGACCTTGGACACTTACCTCGTCATCGAAGACCTCAGCCCCGGAAGCCCTTATCAGTTCAGAGTCAGTGCCAGCAACCCCTGGGGGATCAGCCTTCCCAGCGAGCCCTCGGAGTTCGTGCGACTTCCAGAGTACGGTGAGTCCCACCACGCCCCGCACCCCAGTGGGTGGAGGCCAGGCGCCCCGCACGCTCACCCGCACTGTCTGCCCATTGCGTGGCAGCCGCTGTCCAGCGGATGGCCTGGATTGGCTCCGTGGCTTCAATCAAGTCACAGTCCAGAGGCCTGGTGAAGGGTGTTTCCGTAAAGTGTGATTTCAAGTGTCTGGGAGCAAACGTTAAATCTGCCCCCCCTTCCCTCCCACTTCCCCCGGGTTTACCTGCAGCTCCCTGGGCCCTGGGCATGTCTCCAGGAACCCAGAGGAGCAGGCAGATGTCACGCGTCACGTGGATGCTATCTGCCCCTCTTCTAGGACAGGACACCAAACCCTCCTCTCCCCTGGGAACTGGCCAGCGCAGTGTACCTCACACACTAGGGACAGCCCCACTCCCCGATTTAAAATGGGGAGAGAAAAGCAACCTGGTGGGAGGATTTGATCATTTCCCCACCCTCTACCCTCCCAGAACACCTCTTCTCATGTGGGTTCATTTTTATGTGGAGGTGCTGAATAATTACGAAGACACACACATAACCAAATACACATGAGTGTTTTACAAACAAGGCTCTTACTTTGTCCACCTGTTCACGATCTCACCAAGCCACCTTGGTCCCAAGGACGTTGTGAGAGAGGAAACTTGTTAGCCTAAGGAACTTTTTAAGAAGTGGGGTTTGAGGCAGTGCAGGGGAATGGGCTGGGTGTGGTGGGGTGGAGAGAGGAGGTCTCTATAGTTAAAAGGCAACGAATCTGTGTCTCTCTAGGTTAAGGGAGTCCCAGAATCTAAGAGTGGCTCCAGAAACCTTCTGGGGTCCCAGACGATAGCCCTGCCCCCAGCTGGAGCCGGAAATGCTCCCCGCTGGCTCAGCACCCTCCCACTGGCCTTGCGCGGTGGGCCTGCAACTCCCTGGGAAACCTTGACATCTCTTCCCTCAGATGTCAGGGTGTAGGCACCTTCCGCCTCCGCGGGGCTGTGCTCAGGGACGACCACCACTCATGGTTTGCTTCTTGCGAGCCTTGGTGCCCAGAGACAACACAAATTCACAGTAGTGTCACGCTCACACGTATGCGAATCATTGCCAGAGAATTAACACATCATATAAGGAAATGCTGCAAAGATTCTGCTCAGGTGTGTGTGGGGGGTTAAGCTAAGTCATTCAATATACGAGATGGGCTCACTGATGCCCGAGAACAGCGGGGTGAGGAAGGACAGGTTTTAGAATGTTTTGAGCACGTTCCTTTCCTTCTGTCCTTTCCTGGCCCCGTAACTCCTCCCGGACCCTCTCAGCTGTGTCCTCCCCACCGCCCCAGTCCTCACCAGCTTTGCTAGGCCTTCAGTGCTGTTTCCTCTCTCCCCTTTAGTTTTTTCTACCTAATATGTATTAGTAACATATCCAGAAGCTCCATTCCGGACTGTCCCCTAGTTTCCCTGTGCTGATGTAGACGGCACAGGGCAGGAGTCTGGATGCCACGTCAGGGTCCCCTGGGATGAGATTTTTATAAAGAACCTGTCAGGGAATCCTGGCATTTTCCCACCAAGTTAGGCTGCGTGTTTAGTCCGGAGAGTTGCTTTGGGTGATGCTGGGCTTATTCTGTTAGCCTTTTTGTTATTCTTCGTCACTTCCTCAATCTCATCCATGGATTCTCTCTCTCCCAAAGATGCTGCTGCTGATGGTGCCACCATTTCTTGGAAGGAAAATTTTGATTCAGCTTATACTGAGCTGAATGAAATTGGCAGGTAATGACTCCGCTTTCTATTCCTTAATTCGTGAGCACTTAACAACATCCCAGCAGAATAATGACCGGCTTTTGTTGTTTATTTTTTATTCAATGCATTCTCTCTAAAGAAAATATTAGGGCACTTATGTACATTTTCTCTTGTTCTTTTTCTAACTTCTTAAGTTGGAGGCTTCACGCGTCAGCTCTCAGCCTTTCTTTTTTTCTAACATAAGAATTTAAGGCTCAACATTTTTTCTAAAGTACAATTTTAGCTACATCTCCTCAGTAGATAAATGGCATTTTCATTATCATTCAGTCCTAAGGATTTTTCCTTCACCTATGATTTTTTTTTCTTTGATCCAGTTGTAGTAGAAATGTTTTAAAATTTACAAATGTATGAGATTTTTACAAATTATCTTTTTGTTACTGATTGTAACTTATTGCATTGTGGTTGAAGAATCTGGTCTGTAAGATATGTTTCTTTGATTTTTGTTGGGACTTGCTTTATGAGTGGTATGTGGTCAATTTTTATTGAAAATTCCATGAGTTCTTGAGTAGACTTATACTAATTGTTGGGTTCAGGTCTCTATGGACAACCATGTGTCAAACCCATTGTTTTGTGGACCTTTCTAGTCCAATCACCCTACACACACACACACACACACACACACACACACACACCTCTCTCTCTCGCTGCACACATATGCATTCTCTCTCTTTCTCTCGCTGCACACATATGCATTCTCTCTCTCTCTCTCTCTCTCTCTCTCTCTCTGTCTGTATATTTTGGTTAGAAAATTGTGTCTTCAAAAACAAAAAGGATAAAGTATGACTTCTTACACAATAATGAAAACAATGTATCACCTGTACCAAAATATAGTTGATGGAAAGGAATGAGAATGGTGCATGCATTGGTCCCCAGATGGTCTAAGTGAGAAAATGTGGGTAGTGGATCTTGGAAGTCACCCACCACCCCGGATGTATAAAAAAAGAGCACCCACCAACAATGGGCCATCAGCATCACTGCCAACTCTGACTGACGAATCTCAATGAAGCCTAAAATTTCCTAAGTGGGGTGGTTTGACAGAGGTTGTGGAAACAGCCAAAATGTTTGAAATTCCCATGTTTTAGGCAGTGGTCACAATGTAAACCACTGCCTTTCATTATAGCGCCTTTCACCAAAAAACAACTTTAGCTCCACATTTCTATCTTCTCTGACAAAAGGCCGATGGAAATGTGTGTGTTGATGATGATGATGATGATGATGATCTTATTGAGTATCTATAGTGTTCCAGATACTGTGCAGATATTATACAAAAGTTGTACAGTCTGGTCCTTAGAACACTGGGACAGTGTTTGAGTAAACTTCCAGTAAATGGAAACTCAGTCCCGGGGTGTAGGTGGGTGGGGGGGGAGGAAGTAACTTCCTCGAGGTCCCGCACTAGTAACACAGAGCCAGGATTCAAACCCCGGGCTCCCTGACTCTAAGCCTGTGCTTGATTGCTAGCTTCTGTTGTTTTGCATCATTTTTGTCAAAAATAAGCTGTAGTCATGATTGAAATCTAGTTTGCTCCGTGATATCGAAGTTCGTGAAACTAGCTATGACCCAGATTATGAGCAGGTCAAACGGGTTCCATCACCTGGCTGCCCCAGTTAATTCCTCCCCAGCTGCTGATGGCCTTAGGCTAAGGCCTGATTTAGCTAGAAGAGATGGATGTTCTGGTATTTCTCAAAGTGCAGATCAATTTTCTGATCTGTTCAGAATGTTAGCGACCCCTCTCAAGGACACCAGGGAGGTGGTACTGGGCAGCCCCCTGAGTCAGTGGGAGGGGCCTGTCTCCAACCTCCATCCTTGTCTTCTTATATAAATGAATTTATACCAGAGACCTTGACTGCGTTGTGAAAAGCCAATGTAGAAAAGCAATTAGAGCATGCACCTTTATTGAAAAAGCAAAGCAAGCAGACCTATACATTTGGCTTATGAAGCACAGAAGGGCTCTCAGCTGATCTGAAGAACAAGTTGGGTGGGGGTCCGAGGGGTTATATACCGTCCTGTCTATAGGTTTCAGATTCCTTTGCTGACTATTTTGGTACAGATTCATTCTCAAGGTCCCTTTTTACTTTGTCGTGGCCTTCCCAGAATTCATGAGAAGCACCTGGCAGCTTTATCTTGCCAAGCCTCAAGACTGCTGGCTCCTCTGGTTAGGGAGTAAAACGGCCCTTTTTTCCCTTTCTCCTTTCCCCCTGCCTTCCTGCATTCTCTCCTTAGGGAGGTTTTTTAACCATTTGCTTCGTGTCCTTGGCTGGGGAAGATAAGGGCTTGTTAGTTACAAACTGGCTGCAAATTGCCCACACTGTTCGGCCTTGTTTTAACGTTCCCATCTCAGTTTTCCCAATCCTCCTGCCCTGGAATCCTGTAACAAAAGCCATCTGTGGTTTCTCAAAAATCACATCTCCAACAACCTATGACGTTTCCTCTAGCCCTAAGATAGTCCTCATATTTTCAGAAGATCTTTTAAACATGCTGTATGTTACTAGGATGGAAATAAAACATGTAGATACAGGAGACACATGAAAGATATATGTGCCAGGGCCATAAACATGAGCCCACTTTCTCCATCACAGCTACACCTGGAATTCCAAGCATACGTGACTATCTTTTTTAAAATCACTGTCTGGTAATGAATATTATAAAAATCATGGTGCAGAAAGAAACAGCTTCACTCCTATATCCCATCCATAGAGCATGGCGTAGTAACCGGAAATTAGCTATCTAGGCCCAGTGCCGTTGAAGGAAGCCAGGGAGTTAGCCCTGGGAATGCTGACTGGTGCAAGCATGTCAAACTCGCTGCTTGCAATACCAGGCTACCCTTTCACTCCCTCCCAAGTCTTCACTAAATCTATTATAAAACAATTTTTAAAGCAGGAACATAAGGACAAGGACGTTAGAAGAAGAGATAGCAACAATAAACTATTAGAAGCAGAAAAACAGGTTGAGAGGGTGGCAAATGACCTGGGAAACCTGAGAAAACCCAATCCAGGTCAGACGTGGGGTCAAGTGGGAGCCCTTGTTACAGTGGAGTTCCCCAGAGGCTCAGGTGCCAACAGCACCCAAAACATCTGGAAACAGGTGTGAAGAGGATGCTAAGGTCGGAAGGATTGGCTGAGCTCTGTGTGAGGAAAAGCTGTGGCTCCAGTCTCCTCCCAGCTGCAGGCTGCTGTGTGATGTCCTCCTCCACCCAGGGAAGGCCAGACGCTTGTCCTCTGGAGAGAGCAGAGCAGGCAGGCTCTATCCTCGGGGACACCAGCACAGTGAGGGCAGACCCCTGCTCCAGTCCGGCGGTGAGGAGACTGCGTGCGCGCTGGGTGCTGAGGGACCCAGCTCTGACCCACACTCAGAGCTTTCAGGCAGCTCTTTAGTCTCAATTCTTACAAGGAGCCAAGATGGAGGAAGCCCAGTGTAGCCTTTCTCTCCCACTGAATCACAACTAGAATCCCTGGGAAAAATACAAAAAAAAGCAACTATTTGAGAATTCTGGAAACACACACACACACACAAACAGGCAAGTTGGGGAAGTCAACACTTGACAAAAGACAAGGGCAGTGGCTGTGAGTTTTCTATTTGTTTGTTCTTGTCTCCTTTGCCCCACAGGTGAGCCAAATCAGCACACTGTGGCATGCTCAGAGGGGAAGTGCTCCGAGAGAAAGCTGCCTTTCTGGCCAAAAGACAGGGCGAGGGGTCCCTTTGAGCTGAGGAGCACAGGGAAATTCCCTTGTCGCATCCCCCCAACACACTTCTTCCTCTCACTGCTCTGCCCCAAGGGCACTCAGGCAGCGCTCTCTGATGATGCAGGAAGCTCACACTCAGGGAGCCCCATCTTTCTGGCCAGAGGAACCACACAAAGGGGTCCAAGGAGCCAAAGGCTGTGAGGGAAATCTCAATGAGGAGAGGGCTACTGCCTTTATCAGGGACATATCGCAGGGACTAGGGATTTTGATGCTCTGGACATTGACAGTTCACATCATCCATTACAGTAGAAGTTAGAAGGCAGCAGAATAAGTGCTTCAAAATTGTAAGTGAATTCTTTTCCACCTAGAATTATTCAGCTAAACTAGCAATCAAGTAAGTGTGGGTAGAATAAGCACATTTGAGATGCATATGTCTCAACGTATTCCCCATGCACTCTGTTGGAACGGGTTGAAGAACGCATTCTACTGTAAAAAGGAAAGATATGCATAGTTTACTAGATGTCTAGTTGTGAATAGCACTGATGTAGTTCCAGGAATGTAAATACTAAACATTGATAACAATGTAATGCTGCTGGGAGAGAGGGGATGGGGAAAGTGGCTGTGGGGTGGAGACAGAGGGAGGAAAGAGGGGATGGGTATGCAGCCAATGATAACTAAAACTGAAAAAAGCAAGTAGTCACTCAAAACATACTGTATTTAGAGTCACAGAAGCAAACCTCTAAATAATCAGCTAAAATAATTAAACTTGTATATTAAACTGCCTCTGGGGTAGGACAAACGGAGATGGTGGATAATGGGACGCTGTTGTTTTTAATAGCAAACCTTGTAAAGCTAACCATGGGGATGCATAACTTTGACCAACACAAACAAAAATGAAGGCATCAGGACTTCAACATGGCCACAAAGTCAGGTGATCTGTCCTCAGCATTCAAGGTCCTCTGGAAGGACTGCCTTATCATACTCAAACTACCAGAATGATACTGTGTCAATATATGATGTAAAATAGAACTTGCAATTTGACCAAATACTTGCTCACTGGGCCAAGAATGGTGTCTGGCATATAATAGACATTCAATAATTATTTGCCTGATACTTGTTTTATTGATTAGCACATTCTTTTTTGGGAGAAAATCTATAGCAAAAAAAAACAAACAAACAACAACAAAAAAACACCACAATTATTATCAGAAAGTTGCTTGGTGAGCACAGAGCCAGGTCAGGGAGTCAGTTGGACAGTCTTGGTCATGGCCATGGTGTCGGATGTATCTGTTTCAGCTAAGGGAATGAACTGCTCCTTAGACCGTTCACTCCTCTATTCATGGGTTAGGGCACCTCATGGACAGCCTTGATGGCACTGGCTTGTCACCTCTTTGACCCTCTCTTTCTTTGCTTCCATTGCTGATCACCCCGCCCCCCTCCTTCTATTTCACTCTCTGACTACCCTCCATGGGGCTACAGCTGAGCCTGAGAACATTTCCTTTAAGTGTGGTTAATTTTGGTAGATGAAAAATAGAATGGTGGTTATATACTTGTTAAATGTCTTTGTCAATTAAAGATGCAAACTGAAGTATTAATGAGTGAAATAACATGTTATATGAATTTTGCTTAAAACACTTCAAAAAAAGCAAAAGGCAGGAAAGGAATAGATGAAATAAGGTTGGCAAAATGTTGATAATTATTGAAGTGGGCTGCTAGGTGTATAGAACATCTATATAGTGTCCTTTCTATTGTTGTGTATATTAGAAATTTCCCTTAAAAACAATAAATATAAAATTAAATTAAAAATAGCCTCTTTAAAATGTTTTTTAAAATATTATAAGTAGAATTCCTCTTTTAACATTGTTACTGTTATCGTTGTATTTTATAGAAATACTAGAGGCCCGGTGCACAGATTCGTGCACATTGAAAGGAAATTAATTAGAAGAAATATTTTAATATTGCTATTCGCCCTTTCTCTATAATAGAAGTGTCAACCAAATTCATGATCAACAATGACAGATCGAAACACACACGTGTGATTGGCGCCAGCGAGAGCTTTATATATATATATAGATAAACTTGCTTAATTAGACCTGCTTTCTGATTTAGCTAAACTTTTTCCAGCCCAGTGAAGCACCCCAACTTCTCTTTCAGGTAATTGTCAGCAACACAGCAGTAAATATGAACACAAACATATTATTATTGTAGATCACACAGGAAGAACAAAGGGTAAAATATTAAACTACAGCACTGTTTGACTATATTCTGCACAGTAAGAAAACCTGAAGTCATTTTCAAGACCCACCATTTCTTACTTTTCAGTCGGGTCAAGTTTCTAAGTTTTCTAACTCTCTATTTTCCGGCTAATGAAAAGAAAATAGGATTCCTCTGAGTCTCCTATCTACCTATTATAGGACTTCTGTGAGGATCAAATGAGATGAGGCATGGAAAAACACTTCACAGACATTTGGTTAAAGCGTAAAATGTTTCCACCTGACTATAAAGCAAGTCGTGTTCCTGGGCTGAAGAAACTCCAAGGAGGCTAGTCACTAGGGAGAAGAAGCCAGGCATTGCTATGTGACGTCATTACTCAGCACCCATAGTGACCATTTCTGGGCTGGGCTGGGCTGTGGGCCGCATTTTATGCCATGGGGTCTCGGCAGCATCGGCTGTGATTTGGTGGGGTGTCCCTCTGGGGTGGTGGCAGGGCCTAAGTCCCAATGGGGGGAAGCCAAGTGTTGTTTTGTGGGCACCAGGTCCCCAGTGCCGTTTCTCTGTAAATGGCCAGTGCGCGTCACGGCAGCTCCTGCATTGAGCGTCTGCCCCCTGGTGGTCAGCGCACATCATAGTGACCAGTTGGACAGTCGGACACAGCATATCTTTTATATAGAGAGACATTCTATTTAGAAAAGAAAACTGAACCTGTGGTTGATGTTGAAAATGACGGAAAAATATTTTTCCATCTCAAAGAAGCCTAAAATGCTAAGGAAGGAAAAATGGTGTTTCTGAATGATAACATTGTAATTAAAAATACAGTTGTCCCCCTTATCCATGGTTTCACTTTCCACAGTTTCTTTTACCCATGGTTAATTGTGGTCTGAAAATATCAAATGGAAAATTCCCGAAATAGACAATTTATAAGTTTCAAATTATGCCCTGTTTAGAGTAGCTTGATGAGATCTCCCACCATCCCACTCCGTCCCACCCAATACATGAATCACCCCTTTGTCCAGCATCTCCACGGTGTGTACGCTCCCTGCCCATTAGTCACTTAGGCACCATCTGGGTTATCAGATCAACTGTTGTAGTATCACAGTGCTTGTGTTCAAGTAACCCTTATTTTACTTGATAATAGTCCCAAAGCTCAAGAGTAGTGATGCTAGCAATTCAGACACACCAATGAGAAGCCATAAAGTGCTTCCTTTATGTAAAATGGTAGGTATGTATAGGAAAACATGGTATATGTAGGGTTCAGTACAGTCTGCAGTTTCAGTATCCCCTGAGGGTCTTGGAATCTATTCCCCTGGAGAAGGGGGCAGGGCGGCCACTGTACAGGAAAATAGAATTCCTAATAAAATGTTACTATCTGACCACTTGGGCGAAAACAACACACTTCCTTGAATAAGATAGTACCCAGGTGACTAATGAACCTTGACAAAATGCTTTCTCCCTTCTGTTTCCCAGGGGCCGTTTCTCCATAGTGAAGAAGTGCACCCACAAAGCCACTCGCAAAGATGTTGCTGTGAAGTTCGTCAGCAAAAAAATGAAGAAGAAAGAGCAGGCTGCCCATGAGGCCGCCCTCCTCCAGCACCTGCAGCACCCACAGTACATCACTCTCCACGACACCTATGAGTCTCCCACGTCCTACATCCTGATTCTGGAACTGTAAGTACAGGCGTTGTCTCCCTAAGGTGGTCCCCAGCTGTCTGGGTTATTTACTGGCAGTTGTCTTTAACACAGTGTCTTAGGTGACAAAGTGTTCTATATAGCACATGCCCTCTGCCCTCCAGTTTATAAAAATGTTATTCCCATTTTTTTAGAAAATCCAGGATAAGGAAGCTCCTTAAAGGTAGGAATTGGAAAAGCTGGGACTGAAACCCACATCTCTCTCACTCCGTTTTCATTTTCTTTCTATTGTGGACTCTTGAGCTGGGCAGTTTAGAAAAACCTGATGGACAATAGGCTTATCGACAGGGCTGGGGTTGAAATGAGAGAAGGTTTGTGCATCAATCCACTGCCATCGCATCCCATCTACCATCCAAGAAATTCCTTGAAGGGTGGAACCTTAGCTTCGAAATGTCTCACTCATTCCAGATTTTCTAGGGACTCAGGCAACCATCTATTTTGGCCACAGAAGACATCAAATAAAGTAGTGAGGTCCTACTACTACCCCAAGCTCACCACTACCCCAAGCTAAGGACAGAGGGCATGCTCTGTGCTGTAGAAGGACTTTACAGAGACTAAAGAAAGTCTTTTCAGCAGTGCTGAGCCCTCACAGAAATGTTATCAGATTGGTGCTGATGACACCCGGCCTGGGGAGGAGGCAGACATTGGCACCGAAGGCCAATGCTGTGTTCGGCTCCACAGAACCTCTGTTCAGTAGAGAAGCACCTGCACTCACAGCTTACAACTGTCATTTCAGTCTTGCTCTTGTGTGCTTCTTGTCTTGCTCAGCGATTTTCAACCGGTGTGCTGCAAGAATTTTAAAACATGCAATACCTGACTATTTAGTCAGGGGCACTGATCTCTTTTCCCTTAGATTGCCAAATAAAAAATTGACAACAGCCAACACAACAATAGCTGTCCAGTGTGAATGAATGAATCAAAATTATACCTATTTTTTGTGTCAGATGAGCAAAAAAATATTTTTGGTGTTATGCAGAATTTTCGTAGTTAGTTTATGTGTGCCATGAAATGAAAAAAGTTGAAAATTGTTGGTGTAGCTGTATGTGTATGGGGGTGTTTGCAGAAGTAACTTATCATAAATTTATTTGTGATGAATTAAAAAAGTCCAGCCCTAACCGGTTTAGCTTAGTGGATAGAGCGTCGGCCTGCAGACTGAAAGATCCCAGGTTCAATTCTGGTCAAGGGCATGTACCTTGGTTGCAGGCACATCCCCAGTAAGGAGGTGTGCAGGAGGCAGCTGATTGATGTTTCTAACTCTCGATCCCTCTCCCTTCCTCTCTGTAAAAATCAATAAAAACAATTTTTTTTAAAAAAGCCCAAATGCAAACATCTAAGGCTAAATTTGTAACTTGGTTGAAAAGAAACAAAACCAACACTGTTAGTATTGGTAATTCTTTTGTGATACTTACACAGCTGTGCAGTAGCTGGTAGATTGTCACTTTGGACTTAGCAAATGCACTTACAAACAGCCTTTCTGAGCCTAACCTGTTTGTTCGGGAGCTTCCTAACTCAAGTGGTGAATTCTGTGGACAGTGAATTATCTTTGTTTACAAGTGACATGTAATATTTGCCTAGACTTCCAATAAAAGGTATTATCACTTGCATACCAAGGTGGTACAGCAACCCAGAACCTTTGCTCCTCCAGATTGCAGATCACCATCCCAGGGAAGGTGTCCATCACCAGGCTCTTGGTGCAATGAAAAGACGAGCCCTTGGAATGAAGAAACTGGGCTCTAGCCCCAGCTCTGTATTTGGGGCAGTGTATGTGGCTTCCTGGACCTCAGGTTTCCCATCCATGAAGTCTGAAGAATTAGTCCCACTTCTCAGAGATGTTGCAGGGATTAAACTAGATGAAGAGTGAATTGAGCTAGTTTATCAACATGTACTGGGCACTCACTATGTGCCAACCACCGTGTAGACCTGAATCGGGGTGGGGAGAACAAAGATGAAAAAATTAGCTCTTGACAATGATGAGTTATACATTGAATGAGGAAGACCAATTGCTAAATGAATGATTTCAATTTCGTAGGTACATGCATATTTTGGAGAGAGTTAACTGTGAGAACCTAGAAAGGTACTTGGTTGGACTTGAGGTGAGAGGCAGTTCCTGTGCTCAATCTTGGTTATGCTGTGACTGTGGGTCTCCCTTTCTGTGACCATCCAAATGGCTGATAGAGCTTTTCTCTACCAGACAACTGAAGCAGACAGCTGAGGTTCCGATGCTCTAGTCCAGCAGTTCTCAACCTGCGGGCCGCAAACAATGAAAAAACACCCTGCATATCAGATATTTACATTAAGATTCATAACTAGCAAAATGACAGTTATGAAGTAGCAACAAGAATAATTTTATGGTTGGGGGTCATGGCATTAGGAAGGTTGAGAAGCACATGGCAGGGCCTGGGCATCTGCATTATCCAAGAGCTCTAAATGTGAACTTGGTGGCTGAGGCTTTCGGATCCCAGAGCAGTGCTACTGTTAATTTCTCCCTTACGTGCTCCAAGAAGTCCAGGGGGATGCATCTCACAAGCCCAAAACTACTTCATCCCATACTCACCACGCCCACCCCATGCCTGTCAGGGTCAGGGAAGGAAGACAAAGGAGGTCTTCATTGGTCCCAACCTTTGCTCCTGTCAAGGGGTGCAGAAGAGACCTGTAGGAAGGAAGGAGCTGCAGAAGAGAATGGAAACTGGGCCAAAGGCATTTCAACTGTGCTGACCCTTACTCACCCTTCTCTGCCTGGGCATTTCCTGGGGATGTGCCTTTAAGAGCCCAGCGCACAGAGCATAACTGTCTGACATCTGGTCACTCCTTGCTAAAGAGGGCACAGGTACCTGGAAGTAGGTGACATTGCCCGGCCAGTGGCTCAGTGGTTGAATGTCATCCCAAACGCCAAGAGGTCGTCAGTATGATTCTGTTTCAGGCTCGATCCCCAATAGGGAGCATGCTGGAGGCAACTGGTGGATTTTTCTATCTCTTTCTCCCTCTCCTTCCTCTCTCTCTAAAAATCAGTAAAAACATATTTTTTAATAAAAGAAAGTAGTTGGCATTTATTGAGCACTTACTATTACTACCAATTATGTGTACATGCCTCATTGTCTCACTTGGTCCCTGCACAGTCCTCATAATGAAGTAGGTATTGGTATTATTGCTGTGGTTGTTATTATTATTCCCACTTTAAAGATGAGATAACCATAACACAGAGAATTAAATGACTTGCCCTAAGCTCCCAGCCTGCAAGTGGCAGAATCAGGATTCAAATCAGGGTCTGCTTAGCTCCTCCTACCTTGTTCTCAGTCACAGTTTTTAAGGTTGAAAAGTTGCTTCTAGTAAAAGGCAAAGGTTTCAAAAGAGGGTCAAGAATGCCAAAGAAAAACTTTGCCTACTTCCTGGATTTCACCAACTAAAACTTGACAAATAAAAACCCTTGAGGGATGTCAATTCTAATTCATTGATTTACTTATATTAGAATCCTTATGAATATTAAACAGAAACCAGGCTGCCACAATTTAAATTTTTTTGTGTGTGAGTTCACAATGCTATTTGGGGTGAGAGAAGGTAGGCAGGCTTTAACCACGATGTCTGACTTTGTAGAAGGAAGCAGATAAAAGCTGTGGGGCTGCTTGTAGCCGCCAGGTCCCAGGTAATCAGATATTGCTGAGATAGCTTTCAGTCTCTCTCTCTGAAGACTTCTCTATTTTACAGCCTAACCTCTCAAAGGGCCTTGGAGTTGGATCTTTTTGGCCGTGAGCAATTTTAAAAGTTAACCAAACAGAATGTGTCTTAAACAAGGTTATACAGATGTCTTCCCTGAAGCACACCACATTTGTGATTTTATTTACTTGTTTGCTTATCTATTTGTTTGTTTGTTTTAGTTCTAACTAAACTCTGGATAAAATATGCCTGTATGACCACTTTGATCTCTATAACAGGGGGTAGGAAAGATCTTACAGATTTGTATGTGTGTTATTTCTTTGTTTCTTTACAAACATAGTTCCTTTGCCTCTTCCTCCCTACTTTCAGGATGGATGATGGCCGGCTCCTGGACTACCTTATGAACCATGACGAGCTGATGGAAGAAAAGGTGGCCTTCTACATCCGAGACATCATGGAAGCGCTGCAGTACCTTCACAACTGCAGGGTGGCCCATTTGGACATCAAGGTAATAAGAAACAGCCACCCCTGCAAGGAAGTGACCTAGTCCAACCTGCCAGTCATGATCCTTGAGGGATGTTAATTCTAATTCATTTTTATTTACTTAGATTAGAACCCCTCTGAATATTAAACAGAAACTAGGTTGTCACACAATTTAAATGTGTTTTTCGTGAGTTCACAATGACATTTGGGGTGAGGGAAGGTAGGCAAGCTTTAACCACTACTTCTAACTTTGTAGAAGAAAGCAAATAAATGTCAACTTTTCCATGGTGCTCAAGAAAGGCCCTGTTCTCCAAAATGAATAATTTATTTCTTCACTTGATTCACTGCAGAAGTAAGGGATACCTATGAAAACATGATTTTCCATGTCAAAAGACCTCCCAACCCCATTTACGCTTAGTTTGAAGTCTCCTATGTGCTTTGCAGAGGGAATGTCCCATACACTATAGGCTTTATCAAAATACTAGAGGCCCGGTGCACAAAATTCATTCCCTGGGGGGGGTGCAGGGGAGGGTGTCCCTCAGCCCGGCCTGCACCCTCTCACAGTACAGGGGCCCTCAGGAGATGTCTGACTGATGGCTAAGCCGTCAGTCGGACATCCATAGCGGTGCCATGGAAGCGGGAGAGGCTCCCGCCACCACCGCTGTGCTCTCCAGCTGTGAGCCCAGCTTCTGGCTGAGTGGTGCTCCCCCTGTGGGAGCACACTGACCACCAGGGGGCAGCTCCTGCATCAAGCACCTGCCCCCTGGTGGTCAGTGAGCATCATAGCGATCGGTTGTTCTGCTGTTCGGTCGATTTGCATATTAGCCTTTTATTATATAGGATAGCAGAGCTGTGCTTGAACTAATGGAGTCCTACTGATAGTCAAACAGAGAGCTGAACTTGCCTTCTCTTTTCCCGCCTCCTTGGAACTATCTCCTCAGCCTGAAAACCTGCTCATTGACCTGCGGATTCCAGTGCCTCGAGTGAAGCTCATCGACTTGGAGGATGCTGTCCAGATCTCAGGTCACTTCCACATCCACCACCTGCTGGGCAACCCTGAGTTTGCTGCCCCAGAAGTGATCCAAGGCATCCCTGTGTCCCTGGGCACGGACATCTGGAGCATTGGGGTTCTGACGTACGTCATGCTGAGTGGGGTCTCCCCCTTCCTGGATGAGAGCAAAGAAGAGACGTGTATCAATGTGTGTCGGGTGGACTTCAGCTTCCCCCATGAATACTTCTGTGGCGTGAGCAATGCCGCCAGAGATTTCATCAATGTGATCCTACAGGAAGACTTCCGGAGGCGACCCACGGCAGCCACCTGCCTGCAGCATCCGTGGCTGCAGCCCCACAACGGCAGCTACTCCAAGGTCCCTCTGGACACCTCCCGCCTGGCGTGCTTCATAGAACGCCGCAAGCATCAGAACGATGTGCGGCCCATTCCCAATGTCAAGAGCTACATCGTCAACAGGGTAAACCAAGGGACGTAGCCGTGTCCCAGCCCTGGAGGTTTCACATGGAAGTGCAGTGTGAACCAAAGCAAGACTGAATGTGCTGTAAATAATTCTGTTCACTATTTCACTCCGTGCAGTTCTCTGGATTGTGAGATGGTCCCTCTTCAACCTCGTCAGTGGTTATTCAAGGTCTGAGCAGCAGAAAAATCACCCTATGTCCAGGGCTTTCCACAAGGCCATTCAGAAGAGACAAAGGAGGAGAAAGTCACAGAGAGTATTACAAAGAGGGGCAAGGATAACAAGAATACTAGCTGATACAGAATATTAATTGTGTGTTCCAAAGAGAGTGGGTAACTAGGCGAAACTTCAGCTCACTGGAGTGAGTGTAAAAGGTTTCTCTGCCTTGGCTGGAATTTTAAGCCAAAAGGTCTGTTTAGCAGAGACGTCATGTATGCCAACTAGTGTGATTTAGATTCCTTTGATATCGTTTCTTTATAGGAACCATCTACACATACAGTGAACTATATCCCGTTCTGAACTCAGAGTTTTATAATGTAGAGGTATATATGAAATCAGCATAAGTAACTTTGAGTGCTCCAGTTAGGACAGTGATTTCTTTACCGAAACATTACATTGTTTTGACTAAGCACAATTAGAGGACGAGTTTTTTAGAGCATTTTATACATCCTGTATAGAAATCTTTTACCAGAACCTGTGCATGAAGAGAAAGCAGCTACCCCTTTGCAATCTGTGGGTGAGAAGGCCTTCCTCTCAGTCACAGGCATTTGACTCACGTAGGTTCTGTATGGGAAATGCTACTCCCCAATTCACTGGCAGCTCAGAGTTCATCTGGCAGGAAAGCCTGCCGGGAAATCAGTCCATATACAGTAAGAGCTGTAGGCTGCTTTTATGTCTACACTTGGTTTGAAATTGATAGCAAATATAACAGGTTCATACAAAAGGGCAAATAGAAACCTTTCCTACACTTTCTCTGAACTCTGTACCACTGCTTTCTGCTGACCTCTACAACTGTAGAATGCAGTCCCCAGAAAGCTGGCCTACTTGATTCCCTACCCCTTGTGGAAGCGAAGGGGTGCTCACCAAAAGGAGGCAGCCATACATAGGCCTTGGAAAGGCCTGGTCCCAAGTCCTTTTTGAAGCCATGGAATAAAACCCGATACATCAGCCTAATAGAGCATTGAGTTTTAACTGCGATTGCAATACCTACCACCACTCAGCCGCCAATGTTTCCTGAGACTAAAAGGACTAATTGCACTTTGAGGCCGATGCTGCTTTCTGGTGTATATTCTCCGCATCAGATGACGATTCACTGCCCTCTGTTGTGCTAGTGGAAAAACAATTAAACCTGAGCATTTCATGTTTTGTTTTTTCTATTTTTTGTTTCGGAAAACGTTTTTGTTTTTTTGTGTTTGTACATGATCCACTCTTTGTTTTCTGGAACATGTTTTTAAACTGGTGGTTATGCAAACAATATTTTAAATATTTAGGTCACATATTTGTCCAAATCAGGTTTAATGGCATTGCTTCTGTCCTAGAGTAGGATTGAGACCATTGAAATCATGCAGCTCAGAAGTGCAAGCAGGGAGCTGACAAAGGAACTACAAACCTATCTAAGTGAAAAAGAAGGGTGGACATAAGCCTGAACTTGAATATATAAAAACACTGATCTGCACAGTGGGAAGGTAGAATTAAAAATACTCATCATTCCTTTCCACTGATTTCAAAGTCAACTTCCTCATCTACCTTCCACTTCATCCCATCCAAGATTATAAATTAATAAATGAGTAGAAAGTATAAGCAATAAGACTAGATAGCACTTCGTATTTTCAGGATTAACCAAATATGTGGAAACCGACTCCGACTGTGTTCGTTTCCTAGTTTTTGAATGGCCTGGGCCATCAAGGGTCCCTTCCTCAGAGCGCTCCCTTGATGAACCCTCCATAGTCTTCACTTAAAAACGAATGTATATACAAATGCTACGTGACATGATATTTTAAAATGTAAAACAATTTACCGAAAACTCTTTTCATAAACATGTCTTTATTGTGAGACATAGTGTAAAAGAAGAAAGCCTGGTCCCTGCGCTCATCATGAGATAGAGTGTGGGCACTGGGGATTCCAAATATCCATATATATGGCCTGGCAAGTTCTGTTCCGTCCACCACACAGATGGCGATGAAAGAGCCCCTGCTGAGTCATTCTGAGTGTTGATGACCAAGCAGGAGACAAGCTGAGTTTCTGCTTAAGAAGGGCAGGGCCCAGGACAACGGTGCACAGGCTGCACAGGAGAGCATCAGTGGAATCGTGCTGTGGGGAGGGCAGTTGACAGGATGTTAGAGCCAAAGCTTTTGCATCAGCTTTTACAGTGGGGTGGGGAGGATTCAGACATGAAATTGCATGGAATTCCCCCTCCCCAAGGGCACTTGGGGAAGTGAGGAGACGGGAGGGAAAGGACACAGGCATGACAAGTAGTATGGTTGTGTTAACTGGAGCCAAAGTACAATCATTAGAGTAGAATAAGTTTAATAGAGGCCCCAAGAGGAAGAGGGAATCGTTTATCAAGTTTGGCAACTGAAGGAAACTTACAGGGATGCCCCCTGTCTGCAAAGTTTCTGGTTCCTCCCAACTGTGATGAGGTAGCGATCCTGGTTCAAGAATTCTCCATAGCGAGTTGGAAGTAACACGGGAGTCCCAGAACAGGACTGGGAAATTTACTTCAGGTGAGAGATGAGGGGCCAGGGATCACTTCCTGGTACCTGTTTTGGGAGATATATTTAGTTCTTCGAATAACAGAAAAGTGGAAAGGAGAGAAAATAGTCCATTTCTCTAATTAGTCCACTTCTCTAAAACAGTGGTCCGTGAACTGAAAACTTAATGAGGAATTAGTGAAAGTGAACTTCTAGTTGAACTGGTAAAAAATATAAATGTTGGTTAAAGTCACAGGCTTCTTGCTTGGCTTACATTCATTGCATAGGGTTTGGGGTTTTTTGTTTGTTTTGTTTTGTAAAGGTGGGATGGAGAAAAAAAGGAAAGATCAGGGACAACTCATAATAATTTTTAAAAGGCATAATGATTTAGTGCATCTTTTACAATTGTTTCAAATTAAATAGATTTATATCCACTTACAGCTGAATGTGGGAACATGTTTTTAAAAAAATTGTGGTGTTGGCAGTGTCCTTCAGGTCTCTCACAGCCATATCATTCTTGGGGGAGAGGAGGAGGGGAAAAGCTGGCTTCACTGCTTTGTGACTCACAAAGCCTTTATAATGGTAGTGCCTTTCAGAGGGGAGGATGGGAGATAAAGAAGTTCATTGTATTTAGAGTGACTGATATTGCAGCATTTTTCTTCACTTTATAAGATCTTTTAAATGAAAACATCTGAATATAGGGTGAGCCTAGGAATTCTTGAGTTACAACCTCAGCTATTCCTGATTCACCCTTTCTTACAGAAAGTCTTTGTTTTTATTTGGCCCAAATGTCCCCATTGTTAGAAAGTTAGGGGGAAAGAGGGTAGACGTTAATTTCATAGGAATGTTGGAAGAATACCTTAGTTGGGATGTCTAGAAAATACCTTGATTTTTTTTTTTTATAAAGTGCTACACACTGCCAGTGCTAAGAATTTTATTGATAGGAACTTTGAACATTCCAATTTTTCAATATTCATGTCTTTAGATACCTTTTGCAAACTCATGAGGTTAAATTCCATCAAGTGATTTTAACTGGAAGTACTAAGTGCTCTTTATCTGTGTTATTTGGTCTTGGCCTGTAATTTTGATCATTTAAAAGCTTGTCTACAGAAAAAGGTTAGGAAGAAATGGTTGAAGTCTCATGTCAATAAGCTGTCTTCTTCAGTATTTCTTACGGCAGACACACGAGTAAGATGCTCCTCTCTCCTCTCAGAGAGCTTTGCACTCTGGGAAAATTAGCAGAGAAGACCCCAGACAGCCATTGTCCTCCCTGGGAGGGCAGAAGTGAGAAGATTTTACAACTCACCCTTCAGAAAGTCTCACTGTCATCTGCTACAGAAGCAAGTTAAATGTGCAGGTGTAGAAATGAATAGAACTGTTGGTTCGGGGAAGGAAAATCTTGAATCTTTTTTTTTTTTTAAATAATTAGTTTTTTTCAGGAGTATGTTTGCTTTCTCATAGACTTTGTGATTTGGTGCCCGTGAGTTAGTCATTACTTTTTTCTCATGTGAAAGAGCAGGGAAATTTACATCTGTGAGAATATGTCCCCATTAGAGAATTAGGAAGCAAATATATTATAAACCCGATGGAGGTTATTTCTGTGAATTAACTAAAACTTTGTCCCATGAATTTGATAGAGGAGGGACTATTTCACATATAAGGGGTCTCTGCAGTGGGGCAAATGTGCAAATACCATCTTCTTGCTCAGTTTGGGGGAATGTTGACCTATTTCTTTCTCTCCCATGTAGCATCTCTGTGGAGTCCAGGCTAGGCAAACACAGTATGTGAGCTTTCAGTGGCTTCATTTGTATTATGGTTTTTCTTAACTATGTAAAATCTCGGGATCACATACTCCACTAAGGGAAGCTACTATGTTTGTATTCATTTAATAAACACTCTAAGGCTCTGGTTGTTTCATTAACTCTAGAGGATTAAAAGGCACTGCATTTTGTTCACAGACTACACATTAGAAAATATTCATGTGAGAAACCTATACAGAAAGAGAACGCAGAGGTATCATAGGCCGTATTTTCTTCATCACTTTTTAAAATATATTTTTATTGATTTCAGAGAGGAAGGGAGAGGTAGAGAGATGGAAACATCAATGATGAGAAAGAATCATTGATGCGCTGCCTCCTGCACCCTCCCCCCACCCCACTGGGGACCGAGCCCGCAATCTAGGCATGTGCCCTTGACCTGAATCGAACCCAGGACCCTCCAGTCCACAGGCCGATGCTCATCCACTAAGCCAAACCATCCAGGGCCATCACTTTTAATATATGTAGAAGTTAAAAAGCAATTACTCTAAGGCAAATTTTCATCTTTGAGGGATATTTGCGGAAAGCCTGCAATAATACTCATAGGCTATTGCGTTTCCCTGTCAGCCTGTTTGCTGGGAGATTCTAAACTGTGGTCAGATTTAGTTTCTATTCAAATGTTCAAGATTAACTGCTTATTCACATAACTTATTTTGGATAGTGATAATAGCTGGGAAAATGGAGGGTGGTGGAAAAACGTGCAAATAAAATTATTGGAGTCCCAACTCTGGAGGCTTAATTTAAGCAACCTAACTTGCTAGCCCAAGAATAGCTAGAATAAGAGTTCCATCATGCCTGACTTCTTTCAAGAAATGAATCCACATCCAGGAGTACTATGGAAACTGTTACCATGATCTCAAGGACTGTGGTTATGAATTTGAAGTTAACAAACGTACATATTCTCTTACTAACTTAAGCCATATCTGTCATCTCTATGTTTGATTTTTTTTTTTTTTTGCCCTGGTGCTTTTACCTGTTTCTGCCAAACTTCAGCCTACTCTATGGGGAAAGTGAGTGAAACTGTAGTTAAGACAAATGTGAAGACTGAAAAAACTAAAGATCCTCTTTAGAGTGAGATCCTAGTCAGAGAATAGTAGTGATCAAAGTGCAAACTGTTAGAAAATACAGATATATGTACATCTGTACATGTATATAGTGTATAATATATGTATATGTTATTGCTCATATGCAGAAATCTATCCATTTGAAGACAGCCCAGATGGGTCAGTTTTTCTATTGAAAAACGATTCAGGGCCATTCAAAATCATTAGGGCTGGTGGGTAGAGTTAGAATCTACTCAATTAGGAATTATTCGCAGTCTTGAAGTCCACAAAACCAAATCAACAAAGCCTGAAGCATAATGGGGCCATCGCTTAGGATATTATGCTTACATGGAGTCAGAAGTACCTTTATATTTGAATTATTAACAGTTGGTTTGCAAACTGCACTGGCACCTTTTGGTTTTGAGTGACCCCTCCCCACCAAGTCCTTTGGGGTGGCTTCTCTGGCTATTCAGATAAAAGGGCCTTCTCCATAAGTGGACAGGTTTCCCCATAGGGACCACTACACATATACATATAAGTTCATACTTTCATCAGGCTTGTCAATAATTGGTTTAAAAATCACTCCACAGTATTGATAAATAGCTCTATATTTTCAAGGTGCAGAAGAATTCCACAGCCTTAATTATTTCAGTGTCTTGCTGGTCTGCCTTAAGTGTATCTTCTGGGTTTTAGTTGTCATATTGTTTTTAAAATTTTCAGCAGTTATTCATTTTGTATGCACACAATGTCGTTTTGTAAATGTAGGTTGTAAATATTTTATTTGTAAGTCAAATTCACTCATGTGTAATGTTGTAAAGTGATGACCTGCTGTCTTGTCATTACTATAGTAAATGTTATAAGTTATGGATTGAAACTTCAAAATGTACATCTCACAAGTTATTCATGCCTATAAATATACTATACAAAAGATGATTATTTCTGGTGGCTTTTTTGTTTTCTAATTAAAACCTTTGTTCAAAAAAGTAATTTTCTCTCTTTCCCCAAATATATGAAAGCTTTTGATAAGGTAAAAATATTACAACACTTTTTGCCCAGGATTTTGGATAGAAAGTAACAATTTTGTAACTTGGAGAAGAATCCTAAGGCATTTTTTTTATTTTTAAGTATTTTTATTGATTTCAGAGAAGAAGGGAGAGGGAGAGGGAGAGAGAGATAGAAATATCAATGATGAGAGAGAATCATTGATGAGCTGCCTCCTGCATGGCCCCTACTGGGGACTGAGCCTGCAATCCAGGCATGTGCCCTTGACTTGAATCAAACCTGGGACCCTTCAGTCCTCAGGCCAGCGCTCTATCCACTGAGCCAAACTGACTAGGGCCATTTTTTGTTTTTTAATATGTTATTGATTTTTTACAGAGAGGACGGGAAAGGGCTAGAGAGCCAGAAACATCAAAGAGAGAGAAATATCGATCAGCTGCCTCCTGCACACTGCCTACCAGGGATATGCCTGCAACCAAGGTACATGCCCCTGGCCGGAATGAACCAGGACCCTTCAGTCCACAGGCCGAAGTTCTATCCACTGAGCCAAACCAGTCAGGGCCATTTTTTTTTTATTTTTAAAAATGCTGACTAAGCCTCAGGTGTGAATTGTTAACTGCATTCTAGTGTTGCATTGTGGCAACTTTGTTAGCAAATTGGCAGGCTGTTTGGGCTGGATCTCACAAGTTTATGAATCATAGTGTGAACTCGAGGAATCTGGAGTAGCCTACATAGATATGATCAGGCTTCGAAAGACTCTGCATGTGCCACCCAAGTGCAAAAAAGACTGATTCATAGTACAGTGTCAGCTAGAGTGTTCAAATTGATTGGCTTATTTTGCCAATAAAAACAAAATGTTTTGCCCTAGCTGGTTTTGCTGGGTGTATAGAGCATCAGCCTGTGGACTCAAGGGTTCCTGGTTCGATTCCACTCAAAGGTACATGTCCAGGTTGTGGGCACAGTCCCCAATAGGGGGCATGCAGGATGCAGCCAATCAATAATTCCCTCACCACTGGTGTTTCTATCTCTGTCTTCCTCTTCCTTCCTCTCTGAAATCAATAAAAATATATTTTAAAAAATGTTTTGCCTTAGCTGGTTTTGCTCAGTGGATAGAGCATTGGCCTGCAGATGGAAAGGTCCCAGGTTCAATTAATTTGATTGATTTTTCCTCTCCCTTCCTCTCTGAAATCAATAAAAAATATATATAAAAATGTTTTAATATTTGGCTTCTATTTCATCAAGATTTACTACATTTATTTAAAGTGAGAAACAACTGTCAACAGACAGGCTCTTCACACTGGTTGGTCAGCACAATTTCTTCAGAGAAAACGCAGATATACATAAATAATATTGAAATGAAATAGAAATCAATTTGATGAGCAACAATCATTAGCCCTATGGCTTTCTGGGTTGTGTGCTTTAAAGTATTGCCTTCTACACATAATGAGAACTTCCTCCTCTTTAAGAGATTTATTTTAAAGACCGAGTACGCTTGGAATTTCAGATCGGCAGGCCAGGTTACCCTCCTGGATCCCAGTCAATTCATCCTCTGCTCTCCTCCCTCTCTTTATCACCTGTACACGTGCTACATGCCGAGCACCTGAGCTGCTCTAAGGGCAATAAACATACTCCTCCAGGACACACAGAGCCCACAGAGGAGGTAATGAACCTGCTGAGAGATGTATAGTCCCACGTGCAAATTGCTGACATTGTCACGTGACGGATGCTGGGACGTTAAGAGAAAAACTGGGAAAAGGTCCCCGCCTTCGAGAACTTGCACTTCATTTGGTGAAACCAGGTGCGGGGCGTGGCTAGTGACCAGCAAATACAGACGTGCTTGCCTAAGTAGTAGAGCTAATTAAGAGGACTCAGCTTTAAAAAGTGGGCAGGGTTCAGATACAGCCTCTTGAAAGACTTCGCGTCACGTTCTTGGAGCGGATCCACCTATTCCGGGCTTTAAATTCCATCGATCTCCGGCAGAGGCCGCCGACATAAACATAAATCTCAGCCAGGTGCACTGCCGCCACCTGACCCTCGTTACCTGGGCCCCAGGAGAGCGCGCCCGGAGCGAGCCAGCCGCCGGAAAGGGGGCGGAAGGGGCGGGGCTTCGAGGTGACGTCATCAGATCGTCGCCGTGCTGGCGCGCTATGGCTTTTGGCGCGAGTGTGGACGCCTGCACCATGGCGGTCGCCGATACAGCTTTGGGGTCGTTGGTAAAGGGCCTGTACGACGTGCAGGCTTTCAAGTTTGGGAACTTCGTGCTGAAGAGCGGGCTCTCTTCTCCCGTCTACGTAGATCTGCGGGGCATCGTGTCTCGACCACGTCTTCTGAGTCAGGTGTCTGCCCGGAACGGGGAAGAACTGGGCGGGTGGCGGAAAAGGGGACCAGGAGAGGGAGGAGGGCGACAGGAGTTGGGGAGCCGCAGAGCTAAGCGGGAGGGGCGCCCCTGCTGTCGGCCTGGGGAGTCCGCGTGAGAAGCCCGGAGGCCAGGAACTGTCCGTGTTTTGGGGACCCAGAGAGCAGCCTGCTGTTTTACCGCCGACTTGGACACGTGGTTTGCCAGAGTCGGGACTCCAGTTTGGGGCCCGGTCTCGCATAGCTGTGGTTGAAGGGCTTCGGTGTATCTAACCTCGGAAGGTTAGACGTGGGGGAGAGAGAAAAGGGTGGGGAGTTAGTGGCTGTTCAAAGACTTGGAAGGAGGCTCCATTTTGCACTGTGACCAGGAGCAGGAATTAAGGCCTGAGGGTGGACATTTCATGGAGGGTTTCTTGTTGTTTTGTTTTTATGGTCAGTATAAGGGGAAACTTCCTACGCATTAGAGGTTACTAGCACAATGCTGAGCAGATATGAACCCCCTGGGGATTGTGTTCAGCGGTGTGATGGGGTGAGTAGATCCGAGGCAGGGCCTGACGTTGTGCCCGTCTCCTTAACCGCCAGCCGAAGCTGCAGACCGCGCTCTGGGCAGAAGGGGCTGAGTGTGCTGTTCAGGACAGTCGCCACGAGCCACGTGAATATCGAGCAATATGAATTTTTAAATTCACATAGCCACATGTTGCTAGTGACTGTCATATTGGACAGTGCAGGTGTAGAACATTTCCACCGTCATAGAAGTTCTGTCTAGAAGACACGTATGCTTCACCTCTCCGTTAAGGATGTTAACGTCATGTGTGCTTGTTACGGGAAGGATTGGAGCACTAGTTAAATGGGTTGGAAACTCTCACTACCCGGAATCTTGCTGCGGTGCATTTCAGCAGCGCTGCGGAAAAAGTGAGTGACGAGGGGTTCTTCTAATGAAAAATCGATGTGGTTTTTTTTTTAACAAGTCGTCAGTTGACAGGAGACTAAAAATTATTTTTTGATACTAGATCTTGGTGTGGGTGTGATTTTTTTTTGGTAGTTAATTTGGAAGGAGTTCAAAACATTGAGAGACCTCCGTATTATAGAACTTCTTTCATGTCTACTTTATATGGATAGAGTTTCTCAATATTTCTATCCAAAAAAAAAAGCAGTAGAATTTACACTAAACTCTAACTTTCTAGTAGTAAGTACTATTGAACTACAGTAGACACATAAACTAGTGCAAGGAGGAAAAGTGCTGTACGTCTCACTAAAAAAATGCATTTCTGAAATAATCAGTTTTTATGCTATCAAAATTTGAACATTATGTTTTCATTTACTTTATGCTCATAACAATTGTGATAACTCAGTACAGAAGAATTTTTAACACTTAGAGACTTACAGTCACAGGAAATGTAAAGTTTTTCAGACATAAATATATATTGCATTTAAATAAAATTCTTTGGAAATAATGGAATGAAAATATGAGTTCCCCCAAAATATAGGCTTTTCCAGCTTTCATGGCCTAGCATTTTTTTTTTTAATGGAGATGTTGAATATCAAATCACTATAGCATTTGGATCCCATTATATTCACTTAAAAGAGTGATATAACAGTTCTAGGTAATATGTTAATGTTTTTGGTATTCTAGAAATTACATCTTTTGCAACTTAAAAATATTGATAGATTTTTTTCATCTGAGCAAAAGTTTTTGAAGACTTATGATCAACTCTGAGTGCTTGTTTGCTTTTCTGTTTTTAAAATAAGGTGGTGTTCAGTAGGAGTATGCATTCTAGCATTAATATGTGATGATTTACGTGGAAAGGGTATTATAAAATAATGGATTCTGTATTATGAAACTTTTTTCATTCTTTTACATTTTTGTATATTCTTGCATTGATTCTTTTTAAGTAGAATTGACATAACATTATATTAATTTCAGGTGTATAATATAATGATTTAATAATTGTATATATTGCAAAGTGATCACTGCAATAAGACTAGATAATATCCATCACCATACATACTTAAAGAATATTTTTTCTGGTGATAACTTTTACTATCTACCCTTACTTTTAGATATGCAGTGCAGTATTAGTAACTGTAGTCACCATGCTGCACATACATCCCCATGACATTTATTTTATAACTGCACGTTTGTATCTTTTGGCCACCTTCACCCATTTCATTCCTCACACCCGCCCCCAGCTCCCACTTCTGAAAACCACCAATCTCTTCTCTGTATCTATGAATTTGGCCTTTCTTTCTTTTTTTTTGTTTCTTTGTTTTAGACTCCACCTATAAGTGAGATCATACAGTATTTGTCTTTCTCTGTCTAACTTATGTTTTTATCCATTTGTCTATTGATGGATGTCTAGGCTGCTTCCATATCATAGCTATAGCTATTGTAAGTAATTCTGCAATGAACATAGAGTGCATATATCTTTTTCTTTTGATTTTTTTTTTTTTTTTAGATACTTTTCCAGAAGTGGAATTGCTGGATAAAAATACTATAACTTTATAGTGAGAATATTGCAGAATCATCTTCCAAAATTCAGGCTTTATACCCGCTGCTCTAGTAACACAAACATTGAAACACTGGTGCTGGGCTCCAGAGAA